GGGGGGCAAAGGGGGGCAAAGGGGGGCAAAGGGGGGAAACCCCTCCTTCCTGGAAGCAATCAGAGGCCAGGGGAAGAGAGTCGCGCTTTGAGGGAAGAGGAAAGCGAACGGGCCGGCAACACCCCAGCCATGGGGTTTTGGTCCGTGTGGAGCTGGAAATGACGGCAAGGAAGGGACCGGAGAGAAATGGAACAAGGGGACCTGGTTTCTTGCCTTCCTGCACCAGGTCTCAGGTGTCCTTCAAGCTCGAAGAAATCACCTTAATGCCCAAGAAAAAGGGGAAAAACCAAAAAGCATCCTGGCCCCGCACGGCCCATCGCCCGTCCCACATCCCCGCGCGGGGAACCGCCGCGTTCCGCTTCCCCGCGGATAATTAGGGAGGGAGAAATCCCAATTACAGCTGGGATTTACAGCCCAAGAAACAAGCCGTAAATCCTCGCCCCCCTCTCCCTGCCTCGCTCCCCTCCGAGCTGCTTCCCAGCCAAATAATCTCCTCCAGATGTTGGCCGCGAACGCCGGGATGGCGGTTTCCAGCAGGGACGAGACCTTTGGGGGGGTCTCCTGCATCCCTGCATCCCACCAAGGAGAACCCCAAAAGTTCCTGGTGGGGTTATTTCTTTTCCCATCGGGGTTTTTAAAGGGCTGCAAAGGGGCGATACGGGGCGCGATGCTACGGCTCGGGTTGTCCCCGCAGCTCGCGGTGTCCCCTCCCGGCATTTCTAGGGCGACAGAAGCCAGAAGGCTGTCCCAGGTGGGGACACTGACTCGGGGGTGGGAACGGGTGCAGCACTGGGAGTTTGCAACCCCTCAATAAAGGATGCTCGACCGTTCCCGCGACACAGCCCAAACCCGTCAGTCGGTGGCATGCAGACACCGGCACGAACCAGGTGGGAAATGCCAACGGCGCCAGGATGGGAAACCAGAAAAAAAGGCTGGGAGCTGAAAAATAAGCCAAAAAAACCCCATTTGGGATGAGCTCGGAGAGGCAGCGCTTAAAGCCGACCTCATCTCCAGCCACAGATCCCTGTGTCGCCGCGCCGGGGATGCCAGGTGGCATCTGCTGAACAGCTTGACCCCAGCCGCAGCTCCGCGGAGGAAGGCGGGATGGGAGGGATGGAAGGAAGCGGGATGGAGCTGGAGCATGGCCAGGATGCCGGCCGAGCTGGCTCCCGGGCAGCTCGTGGGGCACAGCCTCATCCCAAAGCCACCTTGGCGCGGGGATGCCCCGAGCATCCTCCACGTGTGGACGTCCCAAGCACCCCTCGCTTGTGGATATCACCAGCATCCCTCACCTATGGGTGCCCTGAGCATCCCTCACCCAGGGGTGCCCTGAGCATCCCCCATGCATGGCCGCCCCGAGCATCCCTTGCCCGCGGATACCCCCAGCATCCCTCGCCCATGGGCACCCCGAGCATCCCTCACGCACCCACCCAGCCATTGAAAAAGAAACAAGCGGCACAAGCTGGGACCCCCAACCGCCAGCAGTTCCCTCCCCGCTCCCCAAACCTGGCGGCAACAAGTTTTCCCCGCTGCCCCGAGGCTTTTGTCTGCAGCTTTCAGCTCCCGTCCATCACGCTGAATGGCTCCATTCATCCCGCATTCAGGCGGCGGCTGCATCCGCGCCGGGGGGATCCCAGCGGGTGCAAAGGGCTCATCCCCGCCCTGGCAAAAAAAATCCCGCCGGCTCCGAAGCCCCCCCTGGAGCATCCCTGGTCTCGGGGGGGACGTGACATGTGATGCCCAGCCGGGAAAGGTTGCTTTAATGGACGTTAGCATGTGTAAAATGTTTAAGATCCCATCCAAGGTATGGGGATGATGGGAAAAGTCACTCGAAGCCACACTGCCACAGAAATTTGGGGTGAAGAGGGTCCCGTCGCTGTGCTGTGCCCCCGCCGGCCACAAAGCCCAGGATTTTGGGGGCTGACCCCTCTGGAGGTGCATCCCTGCGTCCTGCCGGGCGATGCTGCGCCCAGGCTCAGGGGAGCACCAAGGGAGTCCCGTACCCCTGGCAGCACCCATGGGACACCAGGGGGTCCCACACCCCCCTGGCAGCATCCATGGGATGCCGGGGGGTCACGAACCCCCCGGCAGCATCCAGGGGACACGAGCTCACCCAGCGTCACAGCCTGCCTACCTCCTCTGCCACAGCTCCGGGCGGGATTCCCGGGGCTCAGGGACTCCCGGGGTGCACACACAGGGTGACATCGCTGCCAAAAAACACCCCAAAAAAGACGCAAGCCGTGAAGCCGCACATCATCCTCACCCCTTCCTCCTCCTCCGCGGGGCACCTTCACCCAGCCCGTCACAGCCCAACCCATCCCCTCTCCCCCCAAAACACCCTCAAACCCGGCACGAGCACGGAGAGAGGGGACCCGGCGCGAGCCCGACCTCCCCCTGCCCTTAACCCTCCTCTTCCTCCGGCCGGGATGCGCCGGGCGCTTCTCTCCGGGTTCCTCTTTCCCCCGCTCCCGCCAGCGACTTCAAGGAAGAAAAACTAATGAAAAGCAGCTGCTCAGAATACCAGAAAGATGATGAATGCGCGTTAAGTCCCCTTAACAAAACCAGGTCTTATGAGAGTCGCCCGGAGCACTTACTTCATTGCTTTAATTTGGGAATCGTGTTGGAAAAGGGAGGGAGGAGGGAGAAGTTAGGGGGGTTTAGTGGAAACCTCCTGGAGGTCTCATTTAGCCCCCCAAAAAAAAGAAAACCCAGGGTAATTAGCCGAATAGCATAATTAAGGAGGAGACATAAAGGAGCCATTGTGTGCAAAGGCTCAACAGGCCGGAGCACCTCGAGTGGGGAAACTGAGGCACGGGGCGGGTTCGCTGCCCGGAGGGACGCATCGGCAGCTGCGCAGGGTGAGATGAAGCAGCCAAAAAGTGTGAAAAATCCTTTTTTTCATAATATTTTCCAGGTGGGGAAGGCAGCCCCTGGCACTGCGGGGGGGGGGGAATCCCAAATAAACCAGCGAATCCCAAGGAGGAGCCCAGAGCGCGACCGGCGAAGGACGAACCGCCGCGGTTAGAGGATGCCGAGCACCGAGCGAGCCCCCGCAGCCGAAAAAAATCCCCCCCATCCCACCACCTCCATCCCGCATCCCGAGGAGCGCACGCCAAAACCCTCTCCGCTCAGCCAGAGCCGCCGCCGGAGCCTCCGGCAAGACCCGCCCGGTTTTCGGAGCAACCCTTTTTCTTGCCAAAAATCTGTATTTTAATCATTTTTCTTGGCAGCCGCACGTTTAAGAGAATATATTTTCTTTTGCAGACAGATATGCCTCTGTATTGCAGCCCGCGTGGGGATCGCGAGCTCATCTCGGGAATGGGGAAGAAAAAGCCGAAACAAGTCCAGGTTATGGTTTTTTCCTCATTTATTTTGGGACCGCAACCCGCCGATGTGCATTAATTACACCGGCGTGCATTAATGACACCGCCGCTGCATCGTTGCAGGGCGCGGGGAGCTGTTTGGGTGCCTCGGCTGAATTTCCACGCCTGAGGAAGGTTCGGGTTTATTTAAATACTCGCCTCCAGACTCGAATTCCTGGGGTTAAACTGCTTTTTTTGAGGAAATAACAACAGTCCCGTGCGAGGGGTTTTTATCCGCCAACGCGTGGTCTCGCCTTCGCCTCCCCGGCGGTGCCATGCCCGGTTTGGGGATGCCGAGCGCCCGGTTCCCGTCCCTTTCCCTCCCCAAGCTGGGGATCGGAGGAGGATACTGGGGTTTGGAGAAGGATACTGGGGTGCGATTTTGCCCCGGTATGGATCCAGCTTGTCCTGCGCTTGGGATAAAAGATGCCAGCTCCAAATGATCCCAATGGGATGGATCCGGCACGGGGGCGACAGGGGCTTGCAGCCGTCCAGCTCGCGGTGCCGGTGCTTGCCCGCAGCTTTTCCTTTCCATCCCACCTTGGGCACCCTCGTGTGTTTGGGAATCGCGGCTCCGATGCTCCCAGGGAACCAAACCCAGCCTCGGGGGTCCCCAGTTCCCGGTGCGCTCCTGGGGAAACCAGGCTAAAATGCTGCTCCGAACGGCAATGCCGTCATGAGACCCTGCCAAATTCCTCTCTGGCTTAGAGGAGCCCCAAAAAACCATCACCCTGGCCAGGAATCACCAGAAAAGTGAAACCGGAGGGGACGCCCCAAATTTCAGGGTCCCATTCGGAAATAACAGGGGCGATATTGGAGTGAAGCGAATTCACCCAGATAACGGGCAGGAGCATCCCGTCGCTCCGGTGCCCGGCAGCCGTGCACGGGGGTGGAGGCGATTCTCCTGGTTTGGGGTGCGTGAAGGCATCGCATTTCCAGATTTCTAAATATTTTCCAGATTTCTAAATCTTTTGGAGCGGAGAGCTGCAAAAGCACCGGCTTGGCCGCCTGTTACTCCAAAAAAGCGGTTTCACCGCTGTCAAGCCACCACCTGCGTCCGCAGGCATGGCCGTCCCCAGCGTCCCTCGCCCGCCCCGCTGCCTCCTCGGAGCATCTCCCAGGCGCAGAGATTATTCGGGTCTGGGTTTTTTTTTTCCCCTCCCAAATCTTCCTTTTTCCCACGGCAGAGTCGCGCGGTTCAATCCGCAGCACCCCGGCTGAGGGATGGCGAGGATGCCGTGGCCGCTGGGATGGCCGGATCCTGCGGATCAGCTCATTTCCTCCAACGGCTGGGGGAAAAAAAGAAGGAAACAGGGAAAAAAAAAAAGCTCCCAGGGCTGCTCGGTGGCCTCCCGCCTCCTACCACCTCCACGCTTCACGTGTCGGGTCTTGCCTCGAAGCCTCCCGGGATGAGGGCGGGCGGCGGATTTGTCGGCGCAGAGCTCGGTGCCCGTGGGCGATGCTGCCGTGCGGGGATGCTGCGCCCGGCCGGATCTGGTGCAGGCTCGGGGATGCTGCGCCCACCTGGATGCGGTCCGGGCTCGCTGGCATGACGGTGTCCCGGGATCCAGGGGATCCCTGCGCTGCCGCTTCGGGGGGAGCACGTGGAAAGGGGGGGTTTTGCCGACCGGCGCAGAGCTCAGACGCTTTCATTGCACGAGTGGCCGCAGGATACGGCGGGGGGCCCCCCCCCCCCCGCGGCCCCGCCCCACTCCGCTCCCAGGTGCCGGTACCGGTGCGGCTGCCCGCGGCGCCCCGCCCGCCTCCGCGCTGAGG